TATTTGTGTGCAAAACAACTTTTATTTGTGTGTAACACATTTTTTTGTGTACAACGTTTTGGCATCAAAATAACTCCATAGTCCTTTTCTCCTCTTCTCTTCATACTCCCCAGCAATTGTGGAACTGGGACGACCTCTCTTACGCTCCAGATTCTTTCCACTTTTGCACAAGCTTTCTGCAATATATGACTTGAATGTATAAAGCCTCATCTGTTCCTGTTTTCTCATCCCACTGCTGCTGCAGTCTCTCTTGTAGAGCAGCCAGGCAGTCACGATGGTCATGTCGATAAAGTGGAACATCAGCCGATGGTACCACTTTTTCGACCTGATTTTGTTGCGGTACAGTGCAATGAGGGAGTCCAGCAGATCCACTCCACCCATATTCTTATTGTACTCTCTCACCACAGCAGGACAGGGAACTTTGATGATTTTTTTTTGCTTGCCATCCCACCTATCAACGTCGGTGACTGGGTGTGCTCCAATGTAATTGCTGAGAAGACTGACTGAACGGTTATCATACCATTTCACAGCATGCAAGGTGGTTTCTCCAACCATGGCCATCTTCTGTTCTAAAGATCCACGCCCAGTTCTCTTCAACTCAACATCACACATCAAGTTGACACCTGGTAGTCTGTTGCTACGAACAGTACCAGTACAGTGAATTCTCTGCTGAGCAAGTGTGAGAATGAGAGGGACACTCGTGAACCAGTTGTCAAAGAACACCTTGTAGTTCTGCTGTCTGGGTATTGGCTGGGCCAGGCGGAGGACAACATTGCCACTTGCTCCTACATCTGGCAGCTCAGGTGGTTGCACAACTCTCCCTGTGTAAATCTCAAAATTGTGCGGGACACCATCAGAGCCAGCCAAGATTAATATCTTGTAGCCCCATTTCTTTGGCTTAGCTGGCAGGTATTGCTTGAGTCTATTTCTTCCCTTGAAAGGGACCATCTGCTCATCCACAGCCAACTTCTCACTCATTGGTATTGTCTGCAGCTTTGAGGTAAGATGAGTGACCAGTGGTCGGATTTTGTGGAGTGGATCAATATTTTCTCGTTGTCTCACTTCATTGTTGTTGAAGTGCAGGGATTTTTTAATGAACTCTCATCTGTTTAGTGCCATGGTGTCAGCTACCTGGGACACTCGGGTGGCTTTGTTCCAAAACATGCGGGTGCCTGGTAATCCAAACAATGACATGTATACTGCTGTACCCATAAATTGTTCCAGTTCTTTTTTAGTGAGGTTAAGGGGCTTGTTGGTGTCACACTGAATGGCATATAAATTTGACTGCTCTAGAACTACTTCCAGAATGTCTTCAGAAAAAAACATCTTGAAGTATTTGTAGGGGGAATTATGGAAGCCCGTTTCCGCCACTCTGCTAAAAAAAATAAATAAAAATTATCTCATTATAATGAGATACTATCTCAAAATAATGAGATACTATCTCATTATAATGAGAAACTATCTCAAAATAATGAAATAGTATCTCAAAATAATGAGATACTATCTCATTATTTTGAGATACTATCTCATTATAATGAGATAACTTGAGCTGGCCCTATAGCTTGAGATATGCTCAACTTGATAGAAAGAAATGGATATTGATAATATCATTGAGCAATACTTCAGAAGGGGTTTTACTAATCTTGAAATCTTGCGAGTTTTGGAAGAAACCCATAATGTTAAAGTAAGTCTCAGGACGCTGGAGAGAAGACAGCAAAAGAAGCGCCTTTGGCGTAGAAAAAATAAGACAGATGTTGCAGAAGTGGCCTCATTTATTGAGCAACAACTACATGGATCTGGGAGACAGCACGGCTACAGGTGGATGCACCAGAAATGTTGGATGGCTGGCATAGTCACACACAGGGAAACGGTACGTCTTTTGATGCGCCTATTGGATCCCAATGGGGTTGACCTGCGTGCACAAAATCGCTTGAGACGACGCTTATATGTTAGTCGGGGACCAAACTATGTCTGGCACATCGATGGGTACGACAAATTAAAGCCTTATGGGATATGTATTAATCGATGCATAGATGGCTTTTCGAGGAAAATGATCTGGCTAGAAGCTTATAAGACTAATAGTGACCCTCACATTATTGCTGGCTATTTCATTGATGCTGTGATGGAGTATAATGGATTTCCACAAAAGATACGCATGGATCATGGCACAGAGAACACTTATGTGGCAGCGATGCAAAGATTTCTGCACAACAGCGAGAAAGAAAATGGTTTGGAATCTGTCATTCTCGGTCCGAGTACAGGAAATCAAAGGATAGAGCGATGGTGGTGCACTTTAAGAAGTGAATGTGCCCAGTTTTGGATGGACCATTTTGACCTGCTTAAAGCCGATGGCTATTTTGTTGACAGCTTTCTGGACAAGTCACTGATCCAGTTTTGCTTCCTACAAACAATACAGGTACTATAAATTTACTTTTTGCTTTCTGCACAAAATTTGAAATAAGTTACAAATAATACAAAAGCACTTTTTTTTCTAACAACCATTTTCTTATTTCTTTGCCCCGTTTATTTTTTATTTTTATCAAACAGGTGGAGCTGGATCAAGTTGTCCATGCATGGAATGACCATTGTATACGATCTACAAATAATCCTTGGGCTCCTCATGGTCGTCCCACATTAATGCATGGTGTTCCCAACCTGTACACTGAAAAAACTGTGATCAGGATTAATTAATATTTACTAAA